ATGGGGACCTTGAACCCCCCCATAGAGACCCTGAACTCCACTGGGAGCACTCCAGGCAATAAATACCCTTGAAGCCACGTCCATGTCTGTCTGTGTGGGAAATGGGGATCCTCATCCCCATCCTCATCTTCATCCCATCCCCATCCTTGTCCCCATCTCATCCTCATCCCCATCCCCATCCCATACTCATCCCCATCCTCATCGCCATCTCATCCTCATCCCCATCCCATACTCATCCCCATCCTCATCCCCATCCAATCCTCATCCCATCCCCACCCTATCCTCCTTCTCATCCTCATCACCTCCCCATGATGGCCATCATCGCCCCATGGCAATGGGGGGCAATGGGACGAGGTCCCCTTGGAGATGCCCATAGATGGGGCTGGAGTGCCACCCTCTCTATTATCAATGCCAGGAAGATATCAATTAGCTCTAATGACCCTGATGAGCCGCACCCGGCTCCTCCATGACTCATTCCCTGCCTGATCCTGGCTCTGCCCCATCCCTGTGGATCCACCCCATGTTCAGTTGTTCCCACGTTCCGTGGACATCAGGAAGAGTCTTGAGGCAAACCCAATCCTGACTCCAATCTGTTTCCCACCCTTTGCATCCCATTTGCCCATTGAACTGGTTGCACTGGGCTGGGGATAGGGCTGGGATCAGGATCCCACCCGGGATCCCGGCTCCCGGTGGATGCTTCAGGGAACCCCTGGAGGAAAACCCTCCAAAACTCCCGTTTTTGCAGCGTGATGGGAATAAATGTGTGGGTTTGGGATAAAATTAGGGGAAAACGGGATCATCTCGGGCTTGGTAGGAGGGAAGCGGCAGGAGCCGCTGCTCCCACGAGGGGGCTCCCGCTCTCCATAGACCCCGCTTTTCCCTGGGATGTCAAACCTCACCTGGATTGGGAAGAACGCACATCAATGGCCTCGAATTCCATTGGGAATGGCGCTGTTAACCCAGTCTTCGCCTCCAGCCAGGAAAACGTTTAAGATAGTGTGAAAACGTTCCAGGAGGCCCCAGATCAGCGCCCGAATTCCCATGTCATCCCCGTTCCCGTGCTCCTGGTGCCTGGAAAAGTTGGATTTCAGATAATAATCGGAACAATTGGATATTATGATTAATATCCCATTAATACGGGTCTGAGGGAGATGGTTGCCTTAGGAGGGGATAAGGGATAAAATGGAATAATTGAGATAAATAGGATAAAATGGAATAGGATAAATGGAATCCACAGGATAAAGCAGAATGTTTTAACTTCCAAACGTTGCTCTTAATGCCCTTCCCAAGCGCTGGGATCTGCCCCAGGGTAAAGGAAGTAAATGGGAAGAACTGGGACACTTTATCCTTGGAAACCTTCTGAGCATCCCTGGTTATTCCTCCCTCCATCCCGATTTATTCCTCTATCCCCATCTGCATCCTCTGCTCCAGCTCGTCCCCATAGGGGCAAATAAGCCCCTATTGATTGGATAAATCCCTAATGATCCTTATGGATTTGAGCCGGGGGAGGGTAGAGGGATGGGGCGGAAGGTTGATCCTTGGGGCTGGGGTGGGGGGTAGGAAGGGGTTAAGGTCCCAGTCCCTTAGGAAAAGCCATCGGGAAGCTGCTGGGTTTGGAACAATGGGAGGAATAGCCCGGATGGCAGTTCTACCCCCTGCGGGGTGCAGGGGAGAAACCCCCCTGATCCCAACCTGAAGCCCCATTGGTGCTGCGATTCCCTGCGCTGGGAATGGGAACCTGGGTCAGCCATCACTCGGCATGTGCTGAGGTCCCATCCGCGCAGCTCCATTGGTGCTGCGCTTCCTGGGATACTTTGGAGCATCCCACACTTTATTCCTAGCCGAGCCCTCGGCCCATCCAGAGGCCGGGAATGGGCTCAGGGCTGCGGATGCTCCACCCTGGGACAGCCCCGGGGCTTTTCCAGCTGAATGGGATGTATGGATGGGCCATCAGGAGCCGCTGATCAGGAAGGGGGGGTGGGGGGGTGGGGGGGTGTGGGGGGGGGAATGTTGATTCCCCTGGGAAAAGGAGTTTTTCCATAGAAATGGGCAATTGGAGCTCGTATTCCCCGTTTTTGACCCGATTTCTCCCGGGTTTGATCCTTTTCCCGTGCTGGTCCCTTCTCCCTGCTTCCCAGTGGGTTTGGTCCCCAGGGGTGTGGTGGCTGGACCTGGATCCGCAGGGATGAGCATCTCCAGGTCCCGGTTCCCCAGGGATGCGCATCTCAGGTCCCAGTTCCCCAGGGATAAGCGTCTGGTTAAAAGGGGAGTAAAAGCGGGATAAGAAAGGGAAACGACGGGATAAAAAGGAGGGAAAGAGGGAAAATCAGTGGGAAACGGGGGGGGGGGGGAAGGTGAGACTCTCGGAAAAGGCGTTTTCCGCCCCAAAGCCGGTGGGGGGTGGGTGGCTCCCGCCGGGTCCCTCCCCCCGTCCAGGCCATGGCCGCGCTGGAGCGGGCCCAGGTACGGGGCGTCCGGAGCCGCGTTAATTCCGCGCCTTCTCCCGCGTTTGTCCCGTTCCTTCCGCGTTAATTCCCGTTCGATTCACTCCGGGAATAGCGCAAAACCGCGCTTTCTGGTGGGAACTCGTCGGGATTCGTTCGAGTTCGCACCTTTGGGTCGGGTCGATTCGGATGGGTTCGAGTTCTGGGAAGAAATCTCGTTTGTTCCTCTTTTAACTTCAGTTTTTCGGGTTTAGTTTTAATCCCAGTTTAATTATTGGGGGGGGGTTAATTCATCATTTTTTTAAAAATTTGGGTCTTCGGGGCTTGGTGGAGTCTTTTTAATTTTAATTTTTTTATATTTTGGTTCTTTGGGGGCTTTTTTTTTTGTTTGGTTTTTGGTTCTTTCCAGGTTTGGGGTTTTTGGGTTTTTTTTTGGTCATTAGGACTTTTAAAATTTATTTTAATTCTTTTTCATTATTATTATTTTTGTTTAAAACGATTTTTTTTTAATTTTGATTCTGTGGTTTTTCTTTTTTCCTTTTTTAAAAATCAATTTTTGGGGCTTTTTGGGGTGGGGGTTGTGGGGGTTTTGTGCATTTCCCTTCCCTTTCCCCTCTCTGCCGGTTACGATTGTTCCCGGTTTCATTCCGGAGCTCTCCCCACATCCCTGTCCCCATCTCCCTCCCCTCAGGTGCCGGAGGCGCTGCTGGAGGTCACGATTCCCACCTCCATCCCCAGCGCGGAGCAGCCGGGTCCTTCCTGCGCCCCAGCCCCGCCAGGTAGGAAAGCCCCCCCCCCCAAAAAAAAAAGGCTGAAATTGCTCCCAAAAGGGTTAAAATTGCCCTCAGAAGAGCTAAAACTGCCCCCAAAAAGTTAAGAGGGACGATCTCTGGTGGGATGGGGGTGTCCTAGAGATTGGGGGGGGGGGCCTCCCTGGACCCAGACCCACAGCGCCCTCTCCTGACGGCTCCTGGCCGCTGCAACGGGACCCGGGGGGGGGCGGGGGCGGGATGGAGAAGGCTCCAGGTCTCTTCCAGCCGGGAAACAGGAGCTGTGGGATCAAGGTGAGAAGTGGACATCCAGAGCTCTTGGTGGGATGGGGAACAAAGCTTCGAGGTACCTGCTGGTTGTTGAGCTGCTGCGCAAGGGTGGCATCACTGCTTCTGCTCTTCCAGGTGTTATCTCTGGGGTCTTCCAGCCCTCCCTGAGTGTTCCCAGATGGACAATCTACACCTTTCCCCTGCTTTTGGTCTCAGGGCTGGTCTTTTTCCTTATTCCTTGAGAAGCCTTCTCCATCACCTTGTAGGCACACCCCACATATCCTGCCCCCCCCCGGGAGACCTGGATTCTCCTTTTCTTCCCAAAGAGGGCTGAGGGTCAATGCCTCCTGATGGTCACTGTCCACCCATTGCCATCAACCTTCACAGGCTTCAACGTGTACAACCCGGCCCTGCTGCAGCAAGGGGAGGACATTTGGATCCCGGGAATCCCAAGCTCCGAGGAGGAGGAGGAGGAAAGGGCCAGACCCCTTCTCATGCTGTGGTCCAGAAGCAGGAAGCAGTGGAGGAGCTGTTGGGATGTCGAAAGGTCCTCTGCATCCGTCACATCCTCAGGTAAAGGACCTGGGGGGGTTGGGTGCTTCAATCCATCCTTTCCCAAGGGTGGATTCCCTTTATCCATTGGGTGCTTCTCCCCATCCATCCTCAAGGGCAGATTCCCGTTATTCTCTGCCTTATCCCAGCAGATGATGGATGGACAAGCGACACTAAAGAAGACAGCTCCTACAGAGACGATGGCAGGATGATGAAGAGATCCAAAGGCAGCATCACCGTGGGCTACAAGCCCCATGGGAGGAGATCATCTTCATCCGGCTACAACAGGAGGAAACCTTATCCCAAGACGCCGCCAGAGCAGCACAAGTGCGGGAAGTGTGGGAAAAGCTTCAGCCGCGGCTCATCCCTCATCCGGCACCAGCGGGTCCATGTTGGGGAGAAGCCCTTCACGTGCTACATCTGCAGGAGCAGCTTCGCCTGCAGCTTCATGCTGCAGGACCATCAGCAGAGCCAGTGCTGGAGGAAGCCCCACAAGTGCCCCACGTGCGGGAAGCGCTTGGCCTCCACCAAATCCCTGCGGAAGCACCAGCGGCTCCACGGAGAGAGCATGGCGTACCGGTGCTCTGAGTGCGGGAAGGCCCTCACGTCCAAGTCGTCCCTCGTCACCCATCAGCGCATCCACACCGGGGAGAGGCCGTTCCCGTGTCCCGATTGCGGGAAGAGCTTCATGGCCAACAAGTCCCTGAAAAAGCACCGCAAGATCCATGTGGAAGGATCCCTCTTTGTGTGTCCGGAATGCGGGAAGAAGCTGATGTCCAAGTACACCTTCATCACCCACCGGAGGCTCCACACCGGGGAGAAGCCCTTCGAGTGTCCCGACTGCGGGAAGAGCTTCGCGGGGAGCAAATCCCTGAGCAAACACCGCAAGAGCCACATGGATCATGGCCTCTACAAGTGTGCTGAGTGCGGAGAGACCTTCCCAAAGAGGTCCTCCTTCATGGCCCATCTCCAGCAGCACCAGAATCTGCCTTCAGACGCCTTCTCCCGTGGGAAGCTCAGGAAGGTGAGGCCCCACCAGTGTCCTGATTGCGGGAAGGGGTTCCGGGACAGCACGAGCCTGCGGCGGCACCAGCTCGTCCACACCGGGGAGAAGCCGTTCAAGTGCCCCGAGTGCGGGAAGTGCTTCCGCGCCAGCTCCACGCTCATCATCCACCGCCGCATCCACACCGGGGAGAAACCCTACGAGTGCGCCCAGTGCAGGAAATGCTTCACGTCCAGCTCATCCCTAAAGAAGCACCTGAGGAGCTGCAAGGAGCTGCTGGGAGCGGGCAGTCGGTGACTTGGGTTTGGTACCTTGGGTGTGCAACTTGGGGATGGGTGGATGCATAGATGGATGGATGGGCACAGAATGGATGAGTCATGAATGGGTGGATGGATGGATACATGGATGAATGGACACCTCATCCCTCCCGTAAACGCCTTGCAACGTTGATTTCCACCTTTCCTCCCTGCACCCTCCCCACCAGAGCACGCCCTCAGGACCAAGCACACGGTTGTGGGTCACAGCACGGGGCTGGTGCATTAGGAATGGCTGGAGGAGATCATCCAGCTCCTCCTTTGGAGCCTAAAGAGCCTCTTTCCATCTCCCACCTTCAAAACCACCTGAAAAGGATAAAGCCCATCCTGAAGCTGAGGGGTCCCCCCAAGATCCGGATCTTCTGTTCTCCAGACACAGGCTCTCCTCCCCATTTCCCCCCTCATGCTCTATCTCATTTGAGTGGTGTTGCTGCCACCCAGACCCACACCATGACAAACACTATGGGGATGGGAACCTCCTCTGTGTGTCCCAGCTTCACCAAGAGGGGCAATAAATGAGCGCGGGTCTCCGGGAGTGTGGGGTTGTGATTTGATAGGGGGAACCCTCCATGGTTCTTCCATCTCAATGGCTCCGGCTGCTCCTGGAGCAGGGATGATGCTCCTGAACGTGGTTGTGTTGGAGGTTGAGAACTGGGGACATGGGACATGGTCCTGGTGGAGCTGGGGCTGGAGAATCCGAGCCCCCATCGTGGAGATGGAGAGGACGTTCCTGATGGCAGGATGGCCTCGGGCTGTGTGTGGGGGGGGGGAATTTCAGGTGTCAGAACACACTGGGGCTGTGGGATAGGGGTTAGCACCAGGAGTGGGGATATCCCATCCTCAGTATCCTTATAGATGGGCTTCTGGAGAGCTCCCAGAGGGGCCCCAGGGTGGGGAGAGGCACCAAGGGGAGTTTCACCGGCTGTTTTCCACAGGGAATCACATCCTTCCCAGGGGGATAACTCAACCCTATCCCCTTCCTCCCCTTTTTCCCTTTAAATCCTGTTGGGAATGTCACAGAATTCCCGTTTTCCCCCTTATTATCACACGAGGAGGCCCAGGTTTCCCTACGGAGGTAGCGTGGCCGAGCGGTCTAAGGCGCTGGATTAAGGCTCCAGTCTCTTCGGGGGCGTGGGTTCGAATCCCACCGCTGCCAGGACACTTTTGGGCACCACTGCTGCCACACTTGGAGGGGTTGCCCCATATCTCCCAGCCCATCAGACGCCCACAGACCTCTGCTCTGAGTGTGGAGTTAAACAAATTCAGTGGAATTGAAGCTGCGAATTGATCCCTGCATGTTGTTCTTCGGGATGGGGGAGCCTCATCGCTTCCAGAACACAGGGAAAGCCGAAGCATTGATCTATGAACCGGAGCCCTCGGGGGACAGCCAAACCCCCTTTTCCACCTTCCCACCACCCCCACCCCCCCCCCGATAAATCCATATCCATGTCGCTGGTTCGCCATCGCACCCATCCCCATTGCCCCCCCTCCACATCCGTGTTGTCCGTGGGTCTCTCTATGGGTCCACCCCTGGGTCAAGACCAGTAAACCCCAACCCATACAAAGCCCCATCTCCCCTTCACTCCATGACTGGCGCCAGCATCATCCCATAAGAATTTAGGGAACGGTGTGGATACAATCAGTGCTGTTCAGTAAAGGATGCTCCGGAAGCTGGGATGCCCTATGGACACGGGATGGGGCAGGATGAAAACAATTGCCAAGAGAATTCTAATCAGTTCTTGGGAGCAAAACCGTTCTCTTACAGGTTAAAACAAGAGCAGGAGCCCTCATGGGCAGAGGCGGAAGCTGGATCCCTTCCCCAGCCAGAAGAAGGGGAAGACGCTCTCTCCCCCAAAGGAAGCCGCTGGGAAGATGAACACGGGGGGGTCCCCCTCTGCCAGGTAAAACCTCACCTTGCCCCCCTCATAATCCAACACCACCCGCACCCTCCCGGCCCAGCCGGTGCTGGGAATGGGGGTGACGGGGTCGGTGAAGGCGCAGAACTGGCTCCCGCAGCGCCCCATGGCCCAAACCCCTTGATCCGGCCGGAATGGGATCCAGCCCCGTCGGGGCACGGAGCCCCGGGCCACCCCCAGCGCCCAGGCGCCGGCCCCGGCCACCCCCACGGCCCAGTGGTGCGCTCCGGCCGCGAAGCCGGGGCTGCCCAGGACGCAGCAGGAACCATTGAAGCGCAGGGGGGAGCCCGGCACGTCCTGAGCCGTGCGCGACCACTGCGCCCCCCGGCGGTCCCGGGACACCACGAGCCGGGGGCTGGCGGTGGAGGGGTCCAGGGTCACAAAGGGAGCTGGGATGGAGGGAAAGGGAAGGGAGGGGGGCATCAGCACCCAGGAATGGCCCGTGATGGACCCAGCACCGCGCATGGCCACTGGGAGCAGGGACACCCATGGAACCATGGCATGGTTTGGGTTGGGAAGGACTTAGCATCATCCATAGGGCAGGGACACCTCCCGTTAGACCAGGATGCTCCAAGCCCGGTCCAGATGATGACTCATCCAAACCTTTTCCATTCAACCTGTCCCAGTGTCCCACCACGCTCATAGGGAATAACTTCTTTACATCCAACCCAAACTTTCCCTGTTCCAGTTTAAACCCATCACCCCATAGTTCCTGATGTCCAACATCCATCTCCATATCTTCCTGCTTGCCTCGTGCTGGAGGACCCCTCTGTATGCCCAGGAACCCCAAAGCTCCTCATTCCCAACCTTTTTAAGCCCAATTTTGCCTAAAAATGCCTTTTCTGGAGGCACTTTTCCAAAGGTCCTCACCTCTTCCATCTCCTCCTGGGGATGGTCCTTGCTCCTTCTCCAGTTCTGATAGCAAGGTGTCTATGGGATGAAGAACAAAGGTTGAATGGATCAAAGGATCTCAGGTAATGCTCGCTCCTGCTTTTCCTGGGAAAACAGGAAAACCAGGATGAACAGGGTAGATGGATCCATCACCCCCTGTACCTTGGAATGTCCCCAGTACGTCCTTAAGGACGCAGTTCTGTTGAGAGATGACCTGGAGCTTCTGCTCCAGGTCCTGGAAGGTGTCCGTTATCCCCCGGGAACTGCCCATCTCCAACCTGGATGTGACCTTAGTTGTGGGGCTGGGGCCAAGCCTCCTGCACCCCACATCCTGTGGGGATGGGGAGGAGCTGGTTGTCCCCAGTGTCCCCGTGTCCCAAGCTGGAGATGCCCACAGGACACTTGGGTCCCATTGGCCCAGTGGCCAAGAGGAGCCGCCTCCTTGTCTCCAAACCTTGCTTCAAGCCCCGCCTTGAAGCCGGAATTCCCATGGGAATGGTACCCACGAGCCTTCCCATGGGACACGAGTGGTGGAGGAGCACGTACCTGTCCACAGCACTTCGGGCATCCTGGGATAGAGACAGGGAGGGCCAAGCCTCATTCTCCCACCTCAATCCATTGGGAAAGCTCCATCCAAGGCAATGCCAAGGGGGAACATCCCACCTGCAGGAATGCGCTCCCAGGTCCCTGAAGCTGCTTCTCCATCGCACAGATGAGGACATTGAGGAGCGAGATCTCCCCCTGGATCTTGGTCTCCTCCTGCTCCTGCCTCCCCATTGCCTCCGTGTCCAGCTCTCCCAGTTGGAGCAGCAGGATCAGCTCCTGATCGCGCAGGAAGCGGCGCAGGCGCCGGAATTCCAACACAACCGCCTGCCTCTGCAGCTCCGTCCGTGCCTGCGGGACATGGGATGAGCATGGATTGCACTGGGATAACACCGCAGCTCCTAGGGATGAGGGCATCCACGTACCAGGTAATCCTGGCATCGCCTCTCGCCATGCGCCTTCCGTTCCCAAAGTGCTTCCCGGTGGGTCCTGAGCGTCTCCAGGTCCTTCCGTGTTTGCTCCTAGAAAAGTGGGTTGGGAGGGTATCCAGCAGGATTGGGAAAGGTGGGATGCTTGGAAGCAAATGGGCACAAGGACGGAGAAGACACAAGAGGAACCAGTCTCATTCTCACATGGGATAAACTGGAATGGGTTGGGAAGCGCCCTTCAAAATCCATCCAACCCCTATGAGGGACTCAAATGCCTGCTGGGATTTAGGCTCAGAATAACCATTTTCCTGGGTTTAGCACCAGGCTTGGGGTTATTCTTGTCTGGATCCCCCCAGTTATTCCCATGGGGATAAAGCCCAACTGTAGGGAACATCCAAGCTGGCTCCAAGCCCGGGATCCCGAGGAGCACCCAGAAACCCCTTAAGATGGTCAGGAAAGGAATAACCTCATTCATGGAGCTGCCTTTGTCCTGGATGGGCTCTTCTGTGCTAAGACCTCCACAAATCCTTGGTCCATCATGTCCGGAGCTGGATGCCTCCGCATCCCATGGGATCCTGTGCCATGAGCAGAGCTGCTCCTTCTCCTGGCCTTCATCCAGACCCAGGAGCTTCAGCTTCTCCACCAGGTGCTCCAGGTGCTGCTTGGGCTGGAAGCTTCCTTTCCTGACATGGTTCCTATGGGCATCTCCAATGGAGCAGCACAGCCGGGATCGGGATGTTCCACCTCCATCCCGGCTCAGGGGACCAGGTTCCTCATCCCTTGCCCCAGATGGACCAGAGGCCATGGATCCACCACTTCTTGTTCCCTTAGCTGCCTGCATGACATGGAGAGGTCTCAGCATGGAGCATCGGGAATCTCCGAACTCCTTTGGATGATAGTTTGGGAAGGGAGGAGTTGTCCTTCAGTAATCCCTGGACTTGGGCATCCATCTCCATCCATAGGAACCAACATGATGGTGGGAACCATCCTTTCATCCCCAAACTCAGTCTCCAACACGTCCCCCCATGGTGGCTTCTAATGGAGCAAAGCCAAGGCAGAGCCCTCCCAATGCCCGCAATCCATGGATTTAGGGTCTTCCTGTCCCTGGGACCATCCCGAAGGAGCCACTTACCCCGTTGGCAGCAGCTCCTGGGTTGATTCTAATGGATCCTGGGGTTCTTCAGCCCGTGGGGCTCCTCTCCAGCTGCACCAGGGCTGCCCGGAGCCGGTCACATGCAGGATACAGGGATAAGATCATCCCTATTTAAGGAAACAGGCGAGGAATGTGCTGCCGGGGCACGGCTCACTCCTACCCCTCAGGGGCCCCACTTGGACTTGTCCATCCCTTCTCCTCCCACTTGGGTCTTCTCCAGCCAACCCGCCCCATGGGGCCACCTCAATGGGCAATGATGGAGCTTTGGGGTACTTGGGGTGAGATCCTGCCTAGAATGATCCCACATGGAATGATCCAAGGACAGTCCTAACCCTGGAACCAGCCGCATAAAGGAATCAAATGCTCTGGAGAGGCTCAAGTGGTTTATTGTCCATTGGGAAGCACCTGCTGGGTGTCCAACTGTGGGGTGGGAGCCATGGTTCAAGGCTCTTGGAGCATGTAGGGATGGAAGAGGGATATCACAGGGATATCAAGGATATCCAAGGGATATCAGGGGACAGTGAGATGTGCATGGTGATGACCACAGTGTCCATCAGTGATCTCCCACAGCCCCCAAGGCTCTTCCATGGCTCCTCCAGCCCCTCCGCACCAGGATGGTCACCGGCGCAGGGAGATGGAGCCCAGCTCCAGCCAGAACCAGGGCCGGAGCAGCTCCCCACGGAAGGATGCCGGAGGGAAGGTGAAGATGGGGACTTGGTTCTCCACATCAAAGAACCTCACCTCTCCCCACTCATAATCCAGAGACACCCGGATCCTCCTGGGCACCCGTGCCAGGTTCAGGGCGGTGGGGGGGGATGTGAGGGCTCTGCTCTGGAAGCCCCATTGCTGCAGGGCCCAGATCCCCTCCTCGGGGCTGAAGCTGATGGGGCCCTTCCTCTTCAAAGAGGCCCTGCTGACGCCGATGGCGCAGTACTGCCCCTGGGCCACGTCCACCTCCCAGCAGTGCCGCCCGGAGGAGAAGGATTCGCCGCCCAGCACGCAGGGATCGGTGTCGAAGCGCTCGGGAACGTCGGGAGGCTGCTCCAGGCGAAATTCCCACCGCACACTCCGCAGCTCCGGGGACACGATGAGGCGTGGATGGGCTGTGGCTGGATCCAGCGTCACCTCCGCTGCAGAGGGGGAAGGGAAGGGGGAGGTTAACCCTGGAGCTGCTCCTTGTCTGGGACCGGGGTCCTCTGGGACATCTCATGGGTGTTTTGGTGTCCTCTTGGGCATCTACAGGGGTTTTAGTGCCTTCCTTGACATCTGATGGGTGTTTTGGTGCCTTCCTTGACATCTAATGGGTGTTTTGGTGTCATCTTGGGCATCTACAGGGGTTTTAGTGCCTTCCTTGACATCTGATGGGCATTTTGGTGCCTTCCTTGACATCTAATGGATGTTTTGGTGTCGTCTTGGGCATCTACGTGGGATTTTGGTGTCCTCTTGGCCATCCAGAGGGTGTTTTGTCCCTCAGGGCTCCCTGTGGTCCCTTCCAGAGCCCCATCACTCACCCATCGCATCCTTCTCCTCTCTGCCAGCACTCACCCATTGTCTCCTCTTCCTTCCCTAAGGACACACACAAAGCACTCACAGTGCTGCCGGGGGGGATCCTGGAGCCAGGGGGGGATCCTGGAGCCAAGGGGGTATCCTGGAGCCAGGGGGGTCACTCACTGTGCTCCTGGAGGCACCTTCCTTCAGAGGAGAAGCCAAAGCCCTGTTACCATTGGAACATTCCTGGCCGTGTTTCCCCATTTCCCAGGTGATCCCATGATGTCCATGGATGTGGAACACCCACAAAGCCACATTCCCACCCTTCCAACCCCGCAGATCCTCACTGGCTGCACCCAGGGTCACTCACGTGCTTTGGCTTTGTATTCCTCTGAGAAGAGAAGCAAAGGGAAAGGTCAGTGTGCGTTCCCAGCATTCCCAAAGTAATCCCAAATTCCTGTGCCCAGGGATTAGCATTGCTTGGATAATGAGATAAGATATGGAGAAGGGAAGGCTTCAGGGAGACCTTGGAGCAGCTTCCAGTGCCTAAAGGGGTGACCTGGGAAGGGGCTTCTACAATGGCACATAGGGATGGGATGAGGATAACTGCTCCCAAAAAGAAAAGGGAAGAGTTGGATGGGACAATGGGAGGAAATTCCTCACTCTGAGGGTGGTAGGACACTGGAACGGGTTGAATGGAGAAGGTTGGGATGCTCCATCCCTTCAGGGTTGGAGCAAGCTGCTCCAGCGGAAGGTGCCCCTGCACATGGTATTGGGTTGGAATGGGATGAGCTTTAGTCCCATCCCACCCGTTCCACGCATCTCTCTTCCATCCGAGGCACTCACCGAGCTCTGCTGTGAGCTCCTCTGGAGAGTCAAGAGGAAAGGAAGGATTCCCATGAGAATTCCCAGTGCCAGGATCACACACACAGAGGTCTCAGGCCAGACCCTGCCACTCACCAATCCTCCTCTCGCGGGTCTCTATGGAAAGAGAAGTCAAAATCAATCCAAGTTATTCCCAGATGGATTTTTTCCAAATCCAAATCTCAAAGTGTGTAGTTGGAAGCAGGAAAACACTCACCAATCCCTGCAGACAGGTCACCTGAGAGAGAACAAATCCCAACTGATCCATCACCATCATCATGGCAATGGAAGCACAAGTGTAGGAGCAGGGAGGAGGTGGACACGTACCAATCCGGGCATCCCGTTGTCCTAAAGGAAGGAAAACAGATGGAAAAGGGAGGGAAAATGAGTTATTCCCCAGTTTTTGGGTGTTCATCCTGAGATGATGAACTGATGTTTTGCTGTTCCATGTAGAGAACTGACATTCCCATTTAGCCCTGGCTATCATTCCCATATGTGCTTCCCTCATCTTCAAGCAAAGAACCAACAGGCTCCCACTAACCCCAGCCTAAATCCCAAAGGATCCACCCTGGTTGGGGTAGGGAAGGGACTCACCCAGCTCCACCGTGAGTTCCTCTGGGAAGAGCAAAAGGAAAAGTAGATTTAGTTATGGTTCTTTCCCCCTTATAGATCCATCAACCAGAAGTTTATGCATTTTGGGTTGTATTCCAATGGATTAGGAATCACTGATCCCCATGTATCCAAACCATCATTCCAAAGGGATTTGGGATGCTCGGGGAGAAGCACACATTGAGCAGCCACGGACATGGAGCCTAAGGCTCCTTTATCCCATGTTAGAAGGGAAGAGCTCCATTTCCCTATGGAAGAGCAGCACTCACCGATGCGCGTGCTCTGCTCCGCTGGGAATGGGAAAAAAAGGGAAAAGAAACAAAGCTTCAGGTTCTTTGCAGCACCCACATTGCAAGTGGGAGAAGAGCAGGGAAAGGGGAATAGCAGGGAAAGGGGAAGAGAAAGGAGGAAAGACCGGGAAGGACTTACCAAGCTCCTCTGTGATTTCCCCTTTAAGGAAGGGAATAAAGGACACAATTAGGATTCCTGGGCTCAAGCCTCATCTGAAACTTCAGGAACAACTCCAGTATTTCAACAACCAAGTGGGAATTTGGTATTTGGGTGGGGGGTGGGAAGCTCTTCCTGGGATTGGGATAACGCAGACGGAATCTGCCTGCTGCAGACCCATCCCAAGCACCCAAATCCACCCAAAAGGAGAACAAAACCCACCTATTTGTTTATCCCGTTCCTCTAAAAACAAGGAAGAAAATCAAGATTAGGATAATAAGGGAGAGAAACCATGGATTTCCATTGGGATTTTCTCCTTCCCTACTATTCCCTTCTCCTTCCCTATGGGAAGACCCAAATTTCCTCCATATCCACAGTTAAATGGTGGGGAAAAGCAAAAAGCTGCTATTAAGGATGAAGTTCTGATGTTCACATCACTGATTTCCCATGGGAACAACCTTGGAGCTTCTAACCCAGCAGAATTCCAATCAGGATACCAAGAAGTGGCTTACCCAGCTCTGCAGTGAGCTCATCTGAGAGGAGAGAACCAGGGATGTGCATCAGAGCAGGGAATACAGGCAGGAAGTGCTCCTGCCAAGGCAGGAAGGGGAATGGTGCTCACCTCTTTCCAGGTCACTGTCCTCTGGGAAGGGGAGGAGAAGGGGAAGAGAGAAGGGGGGAGAAGGGAAAGAGAAGGAAAAGGGGAAAGGAAGGAAAAGGGAAGTGGAAGGAGAAGGAATGAGAATTCCTCGTATCTTTTTCCCCTTCCAGCTCCATCCCTCATTTGCTGTCGTTCCCATGCTCTGACATTGGTAGAGCCCCAGCCCTCGGCCCATCCCAGTTTTCCAGTTGGAAGGAAGCTGGAGCTTTACCAAGCTCCTCAGAAGATTCATCTGCAGTGGAATGAGATGGATCCATTAGTGTTGATCCATTATAGAAGCCATACTGGGCCTACCCAACCCCTGAGGGGCAGGAACAAAGCACTCACCAGCTTCCTGCTCCCTCAGCTCCTCTGCCAGAGAGAAAAGAGGGAAAGGAAAAGGTGAGACCTGGATTTGCCCTTTTCCAGCCCCATTTCCCATCCCCATCTCAGGGTCTATCCCTTGGCTAGTTTTCCCTGGTGTTATTTTAGGCCCCTTGGCCCTCTGCTGTTATCCCCAAAAGTAGATGCCAAAGGATGGGAAGAGCCAAACAGAGCCACCAAATCCCCATGGATGGATGTGGGGAGGTTTGGAACCAGCTTATCCAGCTCTGTTCCAGATTCCCTTAGAGAGGAGGGGATAAAGTTAGGGAAAAGGGAGAGGAAAAGGGGAAAGGAAAGGGGAAGGAAAGAATTCCAGAGTTAAAATTTTGCCAATATAGAAGGAGCAGAAACTCTCACAGGGATTCAGGGAGAGGATCAGATTCCTGGGACATTCCCCTCCGATTCCTGCCATATTCCAGCGACCATTTCCCCACATCCATCTATTTGTTGGCATTAGGAGCCACATCAACCACTTCCCTCAGGGCAGGATGTACATAGCAACTTACGGATTCCTGAATCCTGGCTCTCTGCAAGAGGAAAGAGATCCCAGTTAATGCCATTACCAGCCCTTTTCCCATGGGATTTATGGCCAGGAAAACACGTACCCAGCAGCTCCGTGAGGCGCCCTGGGAGCAGAGAGACACGGATTAGGTCAAGCATGGACTTTCTGATGCCAACATTATGGATTATACACTTTATAGGGATATATTTATAATGGAATATGATTATTATCCATTTAAGAATCTATTTAGGGCACATAAGATACAGATTTAGGACATAAATCACATGACAGACATGGAATATGGAGAATATCAATGCATTATCTACATAAATCCCATCCCAGGCACACTGGGGCCAATTTGACACCGGCCAGATTGGGATCCCCCATGAAAACCTTCATTTATGTCCCCTTTCCCCCTCCCTTTTCCACTTTTCCTCCAAACTGAAGTCATTTGGAACATTCAAGCCCCCCATTTGGGGTTTATTCTCTTGTGTTTGGGTTTCCCAGGGAATTCCCACAGGGAAACCCCTTTCCCACTGTGGATATTGCATTTAGACCAAGTGCTGGGTTAGTCACGACCCCCCCTGGAACCTGGAAAGGCACTTACGGATCTCAGCTTCGTTTTCCCCTGAATGAAAAAGAATAACGGGAATAAATCCTAAGGAATTCACAGCGTATCCCAGAGCACCTCTTGGGATCTTGGAGCACTTCATTCCCACCCCTATTCCCCTTCCAAACCCCTCGAGCCTCACACAATGAACACTTGTGGGTGAGAACCAGCCCCAGGCATGACCCAGGAAGAATCCAGATGGGATTTATAGGGGGAATAAGTGTCTGCATCCATGAAACCCCCCCAGTGCTGGTGCTTCCCCTGGTATTCCTGCTCTGCCAGCCGGGATGTGACGGCTGTGTCCTTCCTTCAGCCGCAGCTCGTGTTGCTCCTGAGCTCATCCCTAGGAATAGCAGTGGGATGGAGCTGGGAATACTTACGGATGGTCACGTCCCGTTCCTCTACAAAGAGCAAAGAAAGAGACAGAAATGAGCTCAAATGAGATCCCAGCTCCAAAGGTTTTTCCTGGAGCTGCGATCTGATCCCCGGCGCTGCTTGGAAACGGGATTTGGGGGGATAGTGATCCCATTGTGTCATAGAATCATAGAACCTGTTATGGAATCTATCACATGGTCCTACCATAGGGTCATCTGTCCTGCCATATAATCAAATATCCTGTTATACATCCTATCGTATAATCATATATCCTATCCTATATCCTACCATATAATCGTATATCCTGTTACATATCCTACCATCTATCCTACCATCTCCCACAGGATCCACCCACAGGCCCATCTATATTTCACACTTTTATCCCAGCTTTTGCACACATCCTCCTAAACCCAATTAGAACAGGAATTTCCCCTTAAGGACCCCAGCTGGGCAGGAAAACCTGGGAAACCCAAGGAAATCTCCTTGTTGAGCAAAGGGAATTCCTTACCAAGTTCTGCTGCCTGCTTCCCTGCAAACAGAGAGGAAAACCCACAGCAAAGCAGGGGTCTGGTGTTGTTCCTCTTCCTCGGGGACAGAATCCCAAGGGTGGATTAAAAAGAGGCACTTACGGAGCTTCCTGCTGCATTCTTCTACAAAGCAGTGGGAATGGGGGGTGAGCACACCGGGATCTGCATCATTCCCACCTAACCCAGGGTTAATGGAGAAGGGACTTACTGATGTCTGCAGTGAGTTCCCCTGAGAAAAGAGAGGGAAAACACAACGGGATTTATGGAAAAGCCTCTGGAATTCCCTAAATCCAGGTTCTGGGAAAAGGGAGGTGAAACCCACCTATTTTTGTGTGCTGCTCGCCTGGAATGGAGGGAAAACAACCAGGATTTACTTCCATGGCTCCTGCCCCTCACCCTTCATTATCTTATCCCGTAATCTGGAATACCAAGTGCCTCCTGCTCTGTGTTATTCCCATTATATACACGTTATTCCCATTTCTAGTTTTTTGGGGGGGTTAAAACTTCCCCATCTCAGCCCCTATGATGCTGTTTCCCACCAGCTCCCAGAGGCAGAGCCCAGACTGGGGCTTGGATTGAGGATTCCTTTGGGAAAACCACAATTTTATAGGATTCAATATCCCAAATCTTGGATATTTTGAAACATTTCAGTAAAAGATGAATCAAGTCATTAAAATGTATGGAAGTTTAATGAAAATCAAGCATTGGACTTACCCAGCTCCACCGTGAAGATCCCTTCAAGCAGAAACAGTGTTAGATCCCATCTGAGTTCCCAAACTCCATGATCCCAGCTCAGCTCTTCCCATGGGAATTTCCCCCCTTCTATTTTCCTTTCCCCTCCCCTTGACCTTTGGATTCTAACTTCCCAAATGAAGGAATTCCAGGATCCCTGCAATGATGGGAAGCATCAGCCCTGGAGCAGGGAATGTCACTTACTGATCGTCGCGTCACATTTAGCTAAGACAAAGATAAGGAATGAGATTCACATCAGTTTTCCAGGTCCATTTTTCCCCTTTTCCCCTCTTTTTCCGGCAGGAAAGTTACTCACTGAGTTCTGCAGTGAGTTTCCCTGGAAAGGGGAGAGAGGAGGGTATTGAGATCAGTGTTCCCATCTCCTCTCTGGGCACAGTGGGAACAACTCCCTGGATGCAGCTTACACAGGGTTGGAGGAATAACAAGAGTGTGGAATAATAGTGGAAAATAGGGAAGAGGGAAAGGAAGGGAAAGAGGGACCAGGAAATACAGCAGCGAGGAAAAGCACCATTCCAGCAATGCCCATTTGGGGGCGATGGAAGGTTTGGGATACAGAAACACTGGAAAACTGGGGAAAGTGGTGCCCAGGAGAGGAGATCCCTTAGGAACAGGCTGAGGAAAAGCCACCCGGGACCAGATTGAACCCAAAAGCACTTACGAAGCCTCGAATCCCGGTCTCCTGCATGGAAAAGGAGGGAAAAGGCTCAAATCCATCATTTTGCGGGTCGTTTGTCCCTCTTCCCAAAGGACAAAGGCCAGGAGGTGGGAGCAGCTTTCCTCCCATGTCATTCCATACAATCCATGCCGGGAATGGGAGGCTGAACCACACTTACCCAGTAGAGCAGTGAGGCGCCCTTTGGGACCAGAGGCAAAGAAGAGGCATCAGATGGAGCAAAGGGACTCAAAGTGGGTGTTTCCAAGACCAAAAAGCCAGAGTTTGGGATGGAAAAGAGGGAAAAGCACTCACGGACTTCAGCGGCGAGTTTGGCTGAGGAGGGAAAGGATATTCCTGGTTATCCAGGAGGGGTTTAGGGAAAAGCCAAAGCTTAGGCCGAGACTTGCAGGGAAATGTTCCCGTTTGGTATTTCTCCCACTCAGATTTGCCCAAAATCTGGGTTTTTCAACTCAAAACCGCATGAATAATACTCACTGGTTTTCCGGTCACGTTCCTCTGGGAAGCAAAGGAGGGGGAAAAGGCAGGAAAATGGTTAATAAGTGATTTCCTTCCCTATTCCTGGCATCTCTGGAGCACTCAGATTGGGAAAGCCACTATTCCCACCCCCAGCATCACCTTGAGCTGAGGGTTATACACTGGAATTACGTGTTGTGGATGTTATTCCATCCATAAACCCTCTTCCAGGTTTCCAGCAGGATTTCTCCCTCTGTTCCTGTTCCCCCCCCCCCATCTGAGGAGGAATTCCACTTACTGATCTTGGCATCACATTCACCTAAAAGAGCCAAGAAACGATCAATCACTGCAGAGACACCAACAGCTCTTCCCAGCCCTGTTCCCTGGGGTTGGAATATCCCAAAACGGAGCTTTGGGAAGGGAGAAATCCCTTTTAAGCCACTTATCCCTCCCCGATCCCACAAAACACTCTGTTTTCCCAGGTTTTCCCATCCCCAGCACTTTGCATCCCGAAGGATAACTTTAAGGACATGAAACCTCCTTACCCAGCTCTGCTGTGAGTTTGCCTGGAATCAAAGGAAATAAAGGAATATTAGCCTTTTAAAATCCACCTTGGTTTCCCTATGGATGTGCCAATGGCTTTCCCAAGGGAAAAGTTGTATTGTAACTGCCCCATGCTGATGGGAATGAGCTCAAAGAGGCTTTGGGATATGGGAAAAGAACCATCCCTGTATTGATGGAAACAGGGATGAACTATGGGAAGCTGAGGCTGATCAGAGCAGCCCAGACCCCACTTCTGCAATGAGACAATCCCAAACCCTCCCATATATCCCCCAAATCCTTTAGGAACCAGGTCCAGAGCACACGGGGTGATCTGGGCTGTGATTCCCACCAGGAATGAGAAGTGGAACTTACTGATTCTCCTGTCCCGTTCCTCTGAAAGGGAAAACACCAAAGGTCAGGGAATGCTCCACCCCACCCCCCCCCCATCATCCTCCATCCCAAATCCTGGAATAATGTGGAATTACACCATTCTGTGGAATGGGTTGAGGTTATTTGTAGCCCAGATTGGAGGAAGGAGTGTTTGAGGAGGGAATAATCACCCCTTTCCTAAACATCCCAATGGAACAAAGGCGAGAGGAAGGGAAGCACTCACCCAGCTCGGAGGTCAGGCTGTCTGGTTGGAAATACATGGAAAAGCAAGGAATGGTCAACAAGAGGAGAAGAAATCTGGGTTTTCACCAGGGATGCTCCTGCCCTGTCCAGGGCTTTGGCTTGGGAATTCCCTTTGTTCTCACTATTTGGTTTGGGATGAAGGGACCTCAAAGCTCATCCAGCTCCAACCCAATGCCATGGGGACACCTTCCACTGGAGCAGGTTGAAGGGACGGAGCGTCCAAACCTTCCCGATGCAACCCATCCCAGTGTCCCACCACCCTCTTCCCAATATCCATCCAACTCTTCCTTCTTCCAGGTTAAAGCCATTCCCCTTGTCCTGTCCCTCCATCCCTTATCCAAAGCCCCTCTTCAAGGTTTCCTGTAGCCCTTCTAGGCACTGGAGCTGCTCTAAGGTCTCCTGGAGCCTCTGCTGCTTTTGAGGGATAACAGGGAGAAACCAGGAATAAACCCCTGGCAAATCATCTGATCCCAACCCACAGGAACCCGACCAATGGGAATTGCATCAGGACTTACCAATTTCTGCTGTGAGCTCACCTGGAAGCAGGGAGATAAAGCAGGATGAATGTTAAGGGATGATGGGAATCTGACCCATTGGAATCCCTGGGTAGGGTAATGGGCAGAGCCCGTGCGAGTTGGGGTGCGGATGGGTCCCAGCGCTCACATGGGATCTATCCAACAAGGAATTCCCTATTATAGGTGTCCATATGGCAAGGATAAGGATGATACATACCAATCTCTGAGTGTGTTCCTACAGTGAACCACAAGAGAAGAGAAAGCTCTGGGTCATTTCCCACATTCCATAGCTGTTTTCCTCCTCATACAGGACACAATCTCTGCTCCACGTGGGTTTATCCCTAATTATCCTCTAGGATTAGCTGCCCTAGGGAGGATTTACTACTAGTTCTATGCTTTAAGACCTTTCTGCTTGTTTGGAAGCAGAATAACCCCAAAAAGCCACTTGCTCTCGGCAGTATTTCCAGGAGGAACGTGGCTCTGAGAGCTCCAAATTCTCAAATCCAGGAAAATGGAGTCAATAAAGGAAAAGATAAAGGTAAAAGAAGTGCTGTAGGAAGCAGTAGCAGCAGGAAGAGCCCTTAAAGAGGAGGAAACTCACCATTTTCTGTGTCACATTCCTCTAGGAGAGAGAAATAAAGCCAGGTCAGCCCCAAGCTCTCCAAAGGGAGCTTCAGGAATGCTTGGGAATGCGGCAGGATTGCAGGGACCAGCCCCTCCTCTGCTCCAGGAGCATTCCCATCAGCCCAGCCCCACTCACCCAGCTCCGTGTCGCTCTCCTCTGGATGGGACAAAGAGAAACAGAACCAGTTGGTGATGGTCAGTGGGGATGGAGCAGCACGAGGAGGGAAGCACTCACCAGGGTCCTCCTTCAGCCGCCCTGCAAGCAAAGGGGATGTGAGGGCAAGGCTCCAGCACCCGGAGCACGTCCTCAGGGATAAAGGGGCAGGAAAAGGCACTCACTGATCTTCGCATCCCATCCATCTGGAAGAGAGGCACAGAACTGAGCTCTGGTGGCAGCCGATGGGACAAAGCAGCCCCACGCCGGCCACGAGCATCACTTCAGAGTGGGACTAAAGGATCTTAACGTCCCTTCCAACCCATTCCATGATGGACGGTCCCTTCCAACCCATTCCACCTTGGAGGGTCCTTTCCAACCTATTCCATCTTGGAGGGTTCCTTCCAACCCATTCCACATTGGAGGGTCCCTTCCAACCCAAACTGTTCTAGGATTCCTGAGCCTGGGAAGAGGGAAAACCACTCACCAAGGTCAGCATTCCTTTTCCCTTGAAAAGAAGAAAGGGAAAGAAGGGAATGGGTTTGGGGCTGGCTCTGAGCCTCATCCCGCTGGAATCAGCACTAAGAAGAGCAGCTTAAGGAGCAAAGTGAGGCTGGAGCACCCTTGGGAATGGCAAAGCGGGATTTTAGGAGCTACAGGAGCCACACGTTGTTAAGGAATAGGTTTTTGTCTACCTGAGTCCATCATCCAGTTCGCTTCCCAACTGGAACCACCTCCAACAGCTCTGCCAGCCTGTGGGGATGAAGGGAACATCATTAGAGCATCCCTTGGGAACACCAGTGGTGGAGGGAGAGCTCCATAGAGCTGTGGAGCTGCTCCTTGTTTTCCCCAGCTCTTAGACTTTGGTATTAGAATCCAAGGATGGGATTGCCATGGGAATGGTGCAGATCCCACCCTTTGCTTCTCCTCATCCGTTCACCAGAGAGGCCCAATATCCATAATGGAATTCTCCCTAAACCACTCAAAGCACGCAGAGGAATCATCATCATTCAATTTAGTGCTTGTCATCCTAAACCTTCCTGGAGTTGCAGGGTGGGAACCAGCACCCAATCCTATTGGATTCTTCTATAGGATCCCTCTTTCTCTAGGATCCCTGCTTTCAATCCTTCTGCTTCCCAGTGCCATCAGGGGCACTTCCAGCACTAAAGGTCCCTCTTGCCCCAGGCTGCTCCAGCACCATATCACATTTCTCCTGCTCCCTCCCAGGAAGAGCCGCATGGAACAGGATATCCCAATCCAATGCTCCCTCCGGAGCTTGTGGAAGGGCACAAGGCTCACCAGGACCTGATGGCCCTCAATGCCAGTGTGGGTCTCTCCGGGGCCGGCTCCGTGGTGGAGGCTGTGGCTTGTCCCAGGAAGCGGGACTGGGAGACGCCGTGTGTCTGGAATCGTGTCCCGGGCAGGACAACTGAGCCGGGCCAGATCCCATCTAATTATAGCGGCTTTAAATGCCGAGGGTGGGGGGGGATCCCAATATGGATATCACAGGAATGGGCTCCTCTGGGGAGGGGACAAAGAGGAGGTGCATCTCCCCTGGGTGCTTTAGAGGATGCAGGAGCTGCTCTGGAGCCAGGACCTGGAGCTCAGTCGGCGGGGATCCAAAGGAGCTCCTGCTTGTGCGTGAATCTGCCCTATCCAAAGGGAAATCCGCCCTATCCAAAGGTGGGAGACATCGATTCCTGGTTTTTATCACCCAAAAATAGCACTCTGGGGACATTTCTCATTACTTTGGGGTCATTTCTCATCATTTTTTGGATCATTTCTCATCACTTTGGGGTCATTTTTCATCACTTTGGATCATTTTTCACCATTTGGAGTCATTTTTTACCCCTTTGGGTCATTTTTCATCACATTGAGTCATTTCTCATCACTTTGGGGTCATTTCTCACCACTTTGGGGTCATTTCTCATCACTTTGGGGTCATTTCTCATCAGTTTTCGGCTTATTTTGGTGTTATTCTCCCTATTCATAGTTGGAGGTTGGAACTGGATGATCTTTAATGTCCCCCCAAGGCCCTCTCTGTATCCTCCCATCCCCATCCCGCCTTCTTCCTCCTCTTTCCGTACGGCAACATGGCGGCGCGCGCGGAAGCGGGAGCGGTATGACGGCGCCGCCATGTTGCCGTACAGCTCCACCGCCTACTTCCGCTTCCGCCGGAAGTCTCCCCTTTCTCTCGGCCTCCGTGCGCGGCGGCAGGCGGACGCGTCAGGCCGCGGCTTCGGTGGGATCCGCCGCCATCCGCCGGTGCAGCCGCCGCCATCGCCGGTGCAGCCGCCGCCATGACGGAGCAGATGACGCTGCGGGGCACGCTGAAGGGCCACAACGGCTGGGTGACGCAGATCGCCACCACGCCGCAGTTCCCCGACATGATCCTGTCCGCGTCCCGCGGTGAGGGCCGCGCCGCCGCGGCGGCAGGGACCCAGCGGGGGGGGGGGGGTACACGGACGAGACCATCGATGCGGGGGGGGAACACAACAATTGGAGGGGACGAGACCATCGGGGTGGGGGTGTCAGAGGGGACCATTGGCCTGGTTGCCCTCCAGAGCCTCTCCTGTGCCCCACATCCCACCGCAGCCCTCAGGGTTGGAGCCCCCCAATAGGCTGTGCATTAGAGGCAGGACCTGGTGATGGGGAGCAGCAGTGATCTCACCCCCTTCCCTTGGGCACCTCCATTGGGGTCACCCGCCCGTTGCTTTGGGGCTGATCCCACTTCCCCCCTCCTTGTTTCTGTTATCCCAGACAAAACCATCATCATGTGGAAGCTGACGCGGGACGAGACCAACTACGGGATCCCACAGCGTGCCCTGCGTGGGCACTCGCACTTTGTCAGCGACGTGGTCATCTCCTCCGACGGGCAGTTCGCCCTCTCGGGCTCCTGGGACGGCACCTTGCGCCTCTGGGACCTCACCACGTGAGCCCCGGGGGGACTGCGGGTCCCCCCACATTGTGTTTGTGTGCTGGGCTTGGGAGGTGAAGTTCAAGCAAGGCATTGGTTGCATCCAAAGGAGGGTATCCTGCCCCTCTGCTGTGGTCCACTTGGATCCTGCATCCAGTGTGCTCAGCATCATGGAGCTGCTGGAGCAGGGATGAGCAGCAGCTGGAGCAGCTCCATATAGAGACAGGTTGATGACATTGGGGCGGGAGAAGAGAAGCTGTTGAAGACCTTGGAGCAGCTTCAAGGGGGCTACAAGGATGGGGAGAGGGACCTGCAACAGAGGTAGGACAAGGGGTGATGGAACTGGAACAGGGAAGTTCAGGTTGGAGATAAAGAAGCTCTTCCCTGTGAGGGTGGTGGGACACTGGAGTGGGTGGAATGGAGAAACTGGGAATGCTCCATCCCTGGCAGTGTTCAAGGCCAGGCTGGATGGACTCGGGGATGATATGGTCCAGTGTGAGGTGTCCCTGCCCATGGCAGGGGTGGGAGCTGGATGATCTTAAAGCCCTTTCCAGCCCAAACCGTTCCATGATCACATGAATCCCAGCGGTCGTGGCTCTTCTCAGCTCCTCTCCTGATGATTACACCTGACTCATCTCTGATCCTTTGCGATCTGAGGACACGTCCTGCAATTATGATGGGAGAGAGGCCTTGTGGGGGCTCGAGCCCCTTTTGGCTCCATTGGGGGTGCAGGAGGAGAGGGTTGGCATCACCAGTACCAGCATTCCATGTGGGCTGAACTCATCCTGATGCTTCCCATGCTTCTTCACTCCTTCCCTACTGTAGACCACTCCAGGGGGTGTTTTTCCTCCCAAATACTTGCATTTCCCCCCCCCTTTTTAATGGGATTTATCCATGATTTTCCTGCTATTCCCTGTGTCTCCTGCAGTGGCACCACCACCCGTCGCTTCGTGGGTCACACTAAGGATGTCCTGAGCGTTGCCTTCTCCTCTGACAACCGCCAGATCGTGTCGGGCTCCAGGGATAAGACCATCAAACTCTGGAATACTCTGGGGGTCTGCAAGTACACGGTGCAGGTGAGCTCCCACATTCCATAAGGAAAAGCTTTAGGTCCCTTCCCGTCACTTATGGTTGGGGATTAGGAGGGGTCTGAGGGATGAAGGAAAAGCCACGGAGCGCAGGTCTGATCCTGCAACACCCCTGAATGGCATGGGGAGGACTCATCCCTGTCTCCTCACCATGATCCCACTCCCATTACTGTTTCCCAGGATGAGAGCCACTCGGAATGGGTGTCCTGCGTTCGCTTCTCCCCCAACAGCAGCAACCCCATCATCGTGTCCTGCGGCTGGGACAAGCTGGTCAAAGTGAGTTGGAATCTAGCAAGCCCAGGCTGGAATTCTTCCACGTTCCCAGAATTTGGGGGTGCAGGAGCAGCGTTCATCCCCTTTTCCCCTCATCCAGGTGTGGAATTTGGCCAACTGCAAGTTGAAGACCAACCACATCGGGCACACAGGATATCTGAACACGGTGACAGTGTCCCCTGATGGCTCCCTCTGTGCCTCAGGGGGAAAGGTACATGCAAAGCTCCATATCCCAGGATCCCTCCCCCAGACCTGGCTCATCCCAGTGCTTCCCAGTCCTTCCCTGTATCCCACAGGATGGGCAGGCCATGCTGTGGGACCTCAACGAGGGCAAACACCTCTACACGCTGGATGGAGGGGACATCATCAATGCTCTCTGCTTCAGCCCCAACCGCTACTGGCTCTGTGCAGCCACCGGGCCCAGCATCAAGATCTGGGTATGTCCCTGTCCCCATCCCGATGGAATTCCATTGGGAACCCACCTCTTCCCCAGCCTCTGCCAGGCCGAGCTGTGATGAAACACTTCATGCCATCCGAGTGCAAGCATGTGGAAACCCAGAGGCTGTTTCTGAGCACCCCTCATGCTGGATCGGGAGCTAGATCAGGAGCTCCCGGCAAGGATCCTTCATTCCTTCCCCTTCTTCCCGCAGGATCTGGAAGGGAAAATCATCGTGGATGAGCTGAAGCAGGAGGTGATCAGCACCAGCAGCAAAGCGGAGCCGCCCCAGTGCACATCCCTGGCCTGGTCTGCAGATGGGCAGGTAAAATCCGTCCTCTTGTCCCTGTCCCTGCATCCCAGCCCTGGGAAGGGGGATTGGGGGGGATCCTCCAAGCATGGGGACAGTTGTGCTGCACTCCTGGGGTCATCTCTGCCAGCAGGAGCTTCCCTCATTCCTCCTTCCCCAGCTCCTTCCCAGTCTTCTCATTTTTTCCTTCCCTTCCCTCATTCTCCATCCCACTACCGGCACTCACCAGATTTCCCCTCTCCTGTGGGATTTGGGTCCTCAGCCCTCAGTGCTCATGCTCAAGGTCCTACCTTCCCATCTGATCCACCTCTTCCCGGTTTTCCCTCTCTCTGCAGACTCTCTTTGCGGGATACACGGATAACCTGGTCCGAGTATGGCAGGTGACCATCGGGACACGCTGAAGCCCCACTTTGGGAATCCCAATAAACTAGCGCTCATCACCACTTCGTGTCCAATTCCGGCTTCTTGCTTGGATCAGAGCCCAGTCCCCATATTCCCAGCTCCAGATTCCCAAAAGTATTGTCCCCAGCCTCAAAGCCACTGGGGATTCAGTCCCACAGCACTGAAATTATGTGATGGGAGGGAGGACATTCTGTGTCCTTCCAGCTAATGGGGGGGCTCTCGTTCCTTCCCAGACTCTGGAAAAACCTGGCAACACACACACAATTCCCAAGGAACCCCAGAATTTAGCTCATTCTGGAGGCACTGGTGGTCTCCTCATCCCCACCAGGGATTTTCCTTAATAAAGGGAAGGATTTAAGGTGGAATATAGGCACTGGGTCCATGCCTGTATAGCCATTCCCTATGGATCTGGGATTGAATTGCTCATTCCCATCCAGAACTGAAGGGATTCAGGTGCCACATCCAGTGGGTGGCAGTGAGGCAGCACTTTTGGGCTTGACCAAATCCAGTTGGAATTAATGAGAGATCCATTGATGGATCCATGGAAGACCCCAGTTCCAGGGCACAATTAAAGCCGGTTTTGTTGGGAATTGGATCCTGGAAGCTTTCATTGGGATGTCACCAAGGCAAAGGCACAGATTTACAACCTTAATCTTTATTATTTGACATAAAACTAAATCTCAATTTAATTCCCATTTTAGCCAAAAATAGTTGGAAGTAGCTCTGGAATGCCAACAGGAACAAAACCCCACCAACAAAAAAGAGGGATTAATACACAACCGGAGTCTCTGGATTGAGCTGGAATCTCGGGAGCAGCCGAGACAAACTGAGAGGAAAAGGGAGCAAAAATAAATACAGGAGCAGGAACGTGGGATAAGTGCTGGGGAATGGGATGGAGATCCCAAAAACAGGGAATACCGCAGGGAAAAGCGGGATGGACTCCAAGTATGGACACCAGCCTGAGTCTGAGGGAGGTTGGAAGTGAATCCCAGAGGAATCCAGCCTCCTCAGTGCAACCAGCGATGGGAGTTGGGGAAGATGATGATGGGAGGTTGGTTCAGAATGAAGCCAAGAGCTTCATGACACTGAATCCCACCGGGATGTCATCCGTTGGGAATGGGAGAGAAGAGCTCCTGGCAGCAGGAAAACTGCCTCTGAGGTGGATCCTTCCCTAATTCCAACCCAAACCTGGCTTTGGATCCCGGGAGGAGCTGGTGGGGAAAGGAAATGGGTGCAAGACAAGTGCAATGCCAGATCCCAAACCAGGATCCAAAGGGCAGGAAAAGCAGCGCCAGATCCCAAAGCAGGATCCAGATGGAATCCAAGGGGCAGGAAAAGCAGCGCCAGATCCCAAACTGAGATCTGAGTGGCAGGAAAAGCAGCACCAGATCCAAAAGTAGGATCCAGATGGAATCCAAGGGGCAGGAAAAGAAGCATTGGATCCCAAACTGGGATCTGAGGGGCAGGAAAAGCAGCGCTGGATCCCAAACTGAGATCCAAGGGGCAGGAAAAGCAGCACCAGATCCCAAGGGCAGGAAAAGCGCAGGATCAGGCACAGATCTTGATGCGGGTGCCCTTGGCCAGGATGCGGAAGAAGGGGAAGATGCGCTCGCGGAAGGAGGCGTTGAAGGTGTGGATGTGGCTCATGTTCTCAGCATTGTAGAAGCAGAGCTGACCCCTTTCATAGTCCAGGTAGACCACGAAGCGCCGGGGCCGCTCTCCCGGCGTCAGGAATGTTTGCTCCGTGGCCGTCAGCGCCTGGAAACGCTTCCCATTGGTGCCCACGCACCAGATCTCCCTCTTCTGCTGCGCTCCCATCGGCTTCTCCTTGCGCCGCGTCGTCTCCCGGGCAGCTCCCACCGCCCAGCCCCGCCTGCCTCCCACTTCCACTTCCCAGTAGTGGCGCCCGGCGCTGAAGCCCTGTGCTCCCAGCACGCAGAATTCCCAGTCGAAGCGCTTGGGATTGTCGGGAAGGTCCTGGCGCCGCTCGCCCAAGCGCACGCTGCGGCGGTCCAGGGACAGGCTGAGCCGCGGGTGGGCCGTGTCCGGGTCCAGCGTCACCTCCGCTGCGGGACACAGGGAGAAAGGGGTTAAGGGGAGCCCAAAGCCCCATCTGGGATCCCAATCCCAAATCCTGGGGATGGGGTTAAATCGCTTCAATCCTCCTTTTAACCCCGTTTCCTCCTTTTAACCCTCAAACTGCAACTCCAGGATTGGATTCAGCAGATGGGAAAAGATGAAGGGAGAGGGTGGGAAAAGGAGGTGCTGTTTCCAGAGGAACCCCAACCCCATGGAGAGGGAATCCCACCATCCCTGTGGATCCAGGGAGTTTCCCAACCCACTCACCTTGAGGGACTTTGTAGAAGACCTTCTCCATCTTCCTCATCACCACGTCCTGCAGGAAGTAGTTACGGTATTTCTTCCCCACGTCCACAGGCACCATCTCGGGCTCCTGGAATTTCATGTTCTCACATCTTGGGAAGGGGAAGGAAAAGCGGGATTGAGCACTGGGAACAGGGAAGGGAACACACACCAGGAGAGGGCAGAGATCTGGGCTACAACAGAGGGCAGAGATCTGGGCTACAAGTGGCTGCTTGTCCAGTGGAGGGGATAAATGATCCCTATAGACTCTAAGATCCCTTTCCCAGCCTTTCCCCTCTCCTATATGTCCCCCATCATCCCTAAATCCCATCTTCCTGCTTCTAGGAGCTCCCATCACCACATTCATTCCAACATCCATATGACACCCAGGTTCCAAACTCCCCATGAAGGCCTTTCACCCCACCCCAGAAAAGCCATTTAGAGCAATGGGAAGTGACTGACCTGATGAAAGTGCCTTTGATGTCCTGGGAAAGGAGGAATCCAGGTGGGAAATGAAGAGAAAGACAAAGATCATCAGGAAAGAGTACACCCAGAGGGGAAGAATCCCATCCATCATGGAATGGTTTAGGTTGGAAAGGAGCTTAAGATCATCCAGTTCCAACCCCTGCCATGGGCAAGGATACCTCACGCTAGACCATGTTACCCAAGGCTCCATCCAACCTGCCAGGGATGGAGCATTCCCAACCTCCTTGGGCATTCCAGTGTCCCACCACCCTCACAGGGAAGAGCTTCCTCATCTCCAACCTGAACTTCCCTGTTCCAGTTCCATCACCCTTTGTCCTATCCCAGCTGCAGGTCCCTCTCCCCACCCTTGTAGCCCCCTTGAAGCCGCTCTGAGGTCTCCATCAGCTTCTCTGCTCCAGCTCCCATGTCCTCATCCCATCTCCTATGGGAGCTGCTCCAGCCCATGAACACCCCATCCAGCTCCCTGGCACAAGTCCCATCGGGACTCAGCTCCCTTGATCCCGAGGGAAGCAGACCTGGAGCAGCTGCAGCCCGTCCTGCCGGCTCTTGTCCTCGGCCTCGGCCAAGAGGCGGCGCAGCGCCGCGCTCTGCTCCTGCAGCAGCCGCACGTTGCTGCTCTGCCGGCCCATGAGGCTCTCGTAGCGCTCCTCCAGCTGGTGCAGCAGCAGCACCTGCTCCCCGACCAGGAACTGGTGCAGCAGCTCGAAGTCTGACTCCAGCTCCTTGATCTCCAGCTTCATCTTGTCCTAATGGGGAGCGAAGCGCAGGCTCAGAGACCGGAGGTGTGCTCAGGGTCGCACAGCACAGCGGGTCAAACCCCCGTCACTGAGCTCTGATCCCATAGGGAAGCAGCTCCCACAACCCATGAGATCTCCAAGGCTGCAGCAAAGGGACTGCAATGCCTCCAAGAGCTCAGATCCATGGGGAAGAGCGGAAAAGCTTTCCACTAATCCCACGACTTCACATCCTCCTGACTCCAAGGGTGGGTTATTCCTTGGCAGGTGGAAGGCTGAGAAATGGGAGCTGGACATGGATCTGACACAGATCTCGCATGGATCTCACCCTCAGCTCCGTGATCTTCTCCTCTTCGTTGGATTTTTGCTTCAGCACCAGCTCCAGCTTCTTCTTCAGTGGCTCCAGGTGGCTCTGGAGCTTGTTCTGAGGGAAAACCCACACCTCAGGCTCAGGAATTCCCTGCCTTTCGTCACCCCATCCCCATCCTTCCCCTTCCAACCCCCCTAAGATCTCCAGGTTCTGTGACTCCAATGGGATCAGCCTGAGGGCTCCTCATGGGCATCCTCATCCCATCCATGAGGGAAGCGACACCTTCAGGAGGTGCAGCACTAAGGAAGGGTTGTGCCATGGGGCTCAACCCTCAGGCAGGCCGAGGAGCTGCGTTCACCCCAAACCAGCCCCACTCCATCACATCCACGCGGGACCGGCTGAGCTCATGTATTCCCTATTGGAACGGCTCCATCCAGCTTCACCTTCATTCCCATCCTCCCCATCCCAACCCTACCCAACCTGTTCCCAGTGACCCAACCAGCCAGGCCAGACCCACCCCACGGCACAGCCCCATTCCCCCCGCCCCCCGGGCCCCAGATCCCATTCCACACCTTATAATCCTGTACCACCTCCTCGAGCGGCACCACGCTGTGGTGCTTGTGGCTGCGGGACTCCCTGCACACCACGCAGATGGCTTCCTCGTCCACCTCACAGAACAGCTTCAGCGGCTCCTGGTGCCGCTCGCAGCGGTCGGGCGGGCCCCCCAGGGCAGCGGCGGGGCTGGGGGGCAGCAGGCGCTGCGGGTGCGGGTGCAGCTGCCGGATGATCTGCACCATGTTGGCCAGCTGCAGGTTGGGCCTGAAGCTGCGCTGGAAGAAGGTTTTCCTGCACTGGGGGCACGTGAAGGTCTGCAGCCGCTGGGGCTGCGCGGCCCCAAGGGGCGTCGTTGCCGGCTCTTCCTCCTCCTCCTCCTCTTCCTCCTCCTCCTCCACGTCCTCCTCCATCACATCCTCGTCGTACTCTTCCTCCCCGAAGTACAGCTCCCCCCGGGCCCCCCCGCCCCACATCCCCTCCTCCTCCTCCGCGGGGTCCCCCCATAGCTCGGGGTCCTCCTCCTCCTCCTCGCTCCACATCTCCTCTTCCTCCTCCTCCTCGGCGCCATCCTCCTCCTCCTCCTCCTCCTCCTGCTCCACATCGAGCTCTTCCTCCTCCAGCTCCTCCTCCTCCTCCTCCTGCGGGGCCGGGGCCTCCGCGTCCCCTCCGGCCCAGAGCTGCGCGATGCAGCGGCGGCAGAAGTTGTGCCCGCACCCGATGGACACCGGCTCCACGAAGTAGTCCAGGCAGATGGCGCAGATCGCCTCCTCCTGCAGCGTCTCCACCGGGTCCAGCCGCGACCCGGAGCCCGCCGCCGGGGCCGCCATAGCGAGACCGCGGCCTCCGAACCGAGTCCTCCCGCTCACCGCTGCCCGAAGCGCCGCTCTGGCCCCCGCCGGGGCCGCTCTGTCCCTCCTCCCGCCGCCGCCGCTCCTCTCTATGGTACAACCGACAGAAGCCGCCGCGGAGCTTCCGTCTTCCGTCCTCTATGGGCACGTGACAGGAAGTGTTGCTATGGCGAGGGGCTCTCGCTTCCGCGTTGAGGGCCCCCTTATCGCGGGGGCTGCCGGCGGGTTTGTCTACCCACACAACTCTGTGCTCTTGGAGGACTGCCTCTGAGGGTGGGCGTGGCTTCCGCCCTACCAGCCCTCATGGCTCAGGGGGTAGAGCGCCAGACTTGTAAGAGGATGGTTGAAGGTTCGAGTCCCGCTTACGGAGACCTTAAACCTTTATAACTCACCCCAAATTTTTTTTTGTTGCCCCCGCCTTCTCCGGGCTCCGCCACCCCCGAATCCCCCCTGGCAGGACTCCCGGAGCGGCCGCACGCTCGTAGCTCCGCGGAGGCATGGGATGTTCCATCCCGTTTCTGTAGTGTAGTGGTTATCACGTTCGCCTCACACGCGAAAGGTCCCCGGTTCGAAACCGGGCAGAAACACTCGGTTTTTGCCTCTTTAGTTTTCCTTTCTCACCTTCACGTTTGCGTTTCAACGCCTCAAGCGCCCCGTCCCGCGGCGGGCAGCGGGGAAAGAGCTCCCCGGGCCGTGCGGGTCCGGGTCCCGGTTCCGGTGCCGCCGCGGTCCCTGCCAGTCCGGCGGGGACCGGAGGGTGCCGCCCGAGCAGCCCGGCTAGCTCAGTCGGTAGAGCATGAGACTCTTAATCTCAGGGTCGTGGGTTCGAGCCCCACGTTGGGCGCGTGGTTCCTTTTGCTTCTATTGATCTTATTTTTCCTTCCGCGCACACTCCGGGGGTCTCCAAGAGCATCCCAACCAAAAGCCGTTCAGGCTGGGTCCAATCCTAGTGCCTAACCCTCTGAGCAGTTACCGTGGGGTGTCTGAAGCACTTCTCGCATGGGGGTGGGATTTTTTGGTGCTGAGGGATTCATTCATTCACTTCCTGCAGCTTTCCAAGGGGAAAGCAAAGCTTTGATTCCTCATTTGCAATGAAACCAGCGACTTGAGCACACGTGGAGGAAGGGAAGAGGGACAACGCATGGATGTGTCAGTGTAAAGTGCTGCTCCATGACTGGTCCTGGCGCAGGGGGTTATCCCACGGGGAGTTCGATGGGATTTACGCCCCGCTGGAGCAGCCCTGCCCTCCCCTCTGCTATCTGTCAGCTCATATCTGGCTCCAAACCAGCTGAACCCAAGCCAATGGGAGGCGAGGAGCAGCATCCCTCCCCTCCACATCATTCCCTCTGTTAGGAGCTGATTTCTCCGCTGGCACCCAGAAAACAGCCACAGCAGAAGGAGGAACGTCCCCGCGCGTCCCATCGCAGCGCCATGGCCGCGCAGAGCCCCGCGGACACCCTGCGCAGCGAAACCTCCTGCTCCATCTGCCTCGGTTACTTCCAGGACCCGGTCTCCATCCCCTGCGGACACAACTTCTGCCGCGGCTGCATCTCCCGCTGCTGGGAAGGGCTGGAAGCGCCGTTCTCCTGCCCCCAGTGCCGGCAACCGGCCCCGCAGCGCAGCCTCCGCCCCAGCCGCGAACTGGCCAACATCGCGCTCATCGCCCGCAGCATGAGCCTGGGAGGAAGGGCAGGGGCAGGAGGAGGAGGAGGAAGAGGAGGAGGGTGGGAGACGCTCTGCGGGCAGCACCAGGAGGCTCTGAAGCTCTTCTGCACCGAGGACCTGCAGCCCATCTGCGTAGTGTGCGACCGGGCCCGTGCCCACCGCGGCCACAGCGTGGTCCCCATCGAGGAAGCTGCGGAGAAGTACAAGGTAAAGCCCCACATATCCAAGGATTCCAGGCCTGGAAGGGAGTTCCGGGGGCTGCCCGGTCGGGTTTTAGTGCAGGGACACTGGGAGTTTGCAGTGGTCCCAGCAGGTTACCCCCCTACTTGAATCCGTTCACCTTTTCCAACAGGGAGAAGGCAGAAAGTCCCTTTTCCAGCCTTTTCCTCTCGAAAATCCTCTGCTGTTGGCTTGGTTCAGCTGAAAGACCGACACTGATAAATACCCAAAACCGTGTAAAAAAAAAAGTGTAATTCATTTTATCCCCTTTATAAACGTGGTTACATCCATTTTTTAGGCCAATTTTAAGTATTTACCCCCTTATTCCCTATTTCTTTAGTTTCAATACAAAGAAATAACTTTTTCCTGTCTCCTCCCCTTGTTTTCTGCTGCTCCAAACCTCTTCTCACCAGAACCCTCTGCAGTGCCCAGCATCATGTCAACATGAGGAACTCCTCGCTGTGTGTTCCCGAAGGAAATCCCCCCCTGCACTTATCTCGCTCTCACAGGCCTTGTGTGCTGCTGATGCTGTTTTGCTCTTTCCTTGCAGTGGTCACTTATGGACATTCCTCCTCCTCTTGGCTTTGCTTCGTGCAGAGGAGCCAGTGTTCAGGCAAAGCCTCTCCCATGGGAGACAAGGGCAAAAGTGATTCCAGTGGGAAAAGCCCCTCCAAGAGCATCTCTTCTTTGTCCCCAGGAAGAAATCCTGAGCTGCCTGCGGGCTCGGAGGGAGGAGAGGGCAAAGTACCTGGAAAGCAGGAAAGCCGGAGGAAGGAGGAGCTCGTACCTGGTGGGTGCCCCAATAGGGAGCACCATCATGGGTCCCCCTGCTCTTTTGGGGCCAGATCCCACGTATTTGCTATGTAGAGCATGGAGCCCTTTGCCCTGGGCTCCTGCCAAGCCCCAGTTTATCTGCTGGGGTTTCACATCGGCTGCACTGGGCTGATAACACCAGGGCTGCTCTGCTAGCAAACAACCCATTGGCTTGTATAGAGACATGGCTGGGAGGGGCTTCCCCTATATCCTATAAATCCCCCTCTGGCAGAGCCCATCTCTTGGCTTTGCTTCCATGCAAAGCCCCCTGGATAGTCCCACATCCATAGCAAGGCCTTTTGCACCCTCACATTTACTGAGCATCACTGAGGACATGGTACCCGAAACCAGCCTTGAGGCCCTGATCTGCTCTCCTTGGGCCTGGTGGGGTCTTGTTGCAGCTCCATCATCTCCTGCCCATCCTTTGGAGCTTCTCCGGGGGCTTCTGTGCTTCCTCCTGGGGTTGTTGCAGCCCCACGGGGCGGGGATGTGACACTGATGGGAACTGAGAGATGGGAGAATGACCCCTGAGGGAGTCAGAGGGAGCTCGCACCGTGCATGGGGGGGGGGTCTCTGCCCCTCTGAGCTCTGCTCCGCCCCGGGCAGGACCGGACCCGGACCGAAGGGAGGAGGACGGCGGGGGAGTTCCATCAGCTGCAGCGGTTCCTGCGGGAGCAAGAGCGCCTCCTGCTGGCAGAGCTGGCGCAGCTGGACCGCGCCATCGCCCGGGCGCAGGAGGAGGCGGCGGCCAAGGTCTCGGAGGAGATGTCCCACCTCGACACCCTCCTGTGGGAGATGGAGGGCACGTTCCAGCAGCCCCCGAGCCTCTTCCTGCAGGTGGGGACAGGAGCCTCAGACCCCATTCATCCCTATGGGGCATTGCTGGGGGGGGCGGGGGTCAGCCCATGGCCATAAGGACACACAGAAGACACAACACCCACCGTGCCTCTTCCTGTGTCTCCTCTCTCCTCCCACCCTTAGGACATCAGAAGACTCTTGGAGAGGTAACGCGGCTCCTCCTCACTCTGCTGAGGGAACGCTGAGGTCGGGGTTTCAAACCACGTTGGTGCAGTGGTAGCGCAATGGGCTCAGAAACATCCCTCCAGCGATGGCCTGGGGGAAGGCAACTGCAAAGAGAAGGGAAAGGGCAAAGGGGGGCTTGATATGCTCCTGGATAAGGATCCTCAGCCCGTCCCATGGCTTCTCCTGCATTGTTTAATGGCAGCAGAGCATCTCAGCAGTAGCCTTTGCTCTTTCCAGCTGTGAGATGATGAAGTTCAAGCCCCCGGTAGAGATTTCCTCCCATCTGGAAAGGAGACTCGAGGACTTCGTGCAGAGAAATGTCCTGGTGAGGGGCACATTGAGGAGGTGCCAAGGTGCGGAGTGGGGCTGGGAGCTGGGGTGGTGCTTTGGGTGCTTGGGGACAATGGGTTTGTGCTAAAGCAAAACCTGCCTGGTGGCTGCTGTGAGTGAATGCAGATGGGGTTTACCCGGAGGAGGACATCGGGAGCCTGTCCTGCAGTGGGGGGAGAAGAGAAGAACAAGCTCAGCAGAGGAGGCTCCTTCTCTCCCAGGAGCCTTGCACCATCCAACCCTCACGCCTCAGTATCCCCCCTAAGTCTCCCATTAGCTTTACTCCCATCCCAAGCCTATAGGATGGAGCTGCAGCCACTTTGACCCCTATACCTGATGCTGTGAAATCTCTTTCCTCTGCAGACAGCCTGATGTTTAAACTGCAAGAGCCAAGTAAGTCGATGGCAGAGGTGGGTTTGGCTTGTGGGAGAGATTCCCATGGGATAACAATGCAGTAGAGGAAGGGTGACAGCATCCTGGTGTATCCAGGGGGTAGGATATATGGTCCTTGTAAAGCCAAATACCCCTCTGGGAGCCAAAGAAAGAAGAGCACTTGTGCTTCCCCTTCCCCCCCATACATCTCCCACCATCCCCTCCCCGTGCTCCATCCTTTGTCCTCGCCCCCTTCTCCTTCCACCCAGGAGCATCCCAAGGGTGGTCCCACCCCTCCCCATGCCCCCCATGCAGCATCCAGAGCTGGGAGGGATAAAACCACCTCTGTCCCCTCCCTTGTCCTGCAGCCAACGTCACCCTGGACCCCTCCACGGCTCACCCCAACCTCCACATCTCCGAGGACCTCAGGGAAGCCCGAGGCCACCTCCAGGCGCAGGACGTGCAGGACACCCCATGGAGGTTCAACTACGAGCCCTGCGTGCTGGGGCAGCCGGGCTTCACCTCGGGCAGGCACTTCTGGGACGTGGACGTGGGGCAGGGGGGGGTCTGGGCGCTGGGGGTGGCCCGAGCATCCATCCCCAGGAAGGGACCCCTGAGCCTCACGCCCAAGGAGGGGGTTTGGGCGCTGGAGGCTTTTCACTCCCTCACGTCCCCCCGCGCCAGCGCGCGCCCGAGCCCCGTCCCCAGCAGGATCCGGGTGTCCCTGGACTATGAAGGGGGCCGGGTGGCGTTTTTCAGTGCTGCCGACGAGGCTCCCCTCCTGGTTTACACCAGAGCCTCCTTCAACGGGGAGAGGCTCCTGCCCTGGTTCAAGATGGGGATGGGCGCGCGCCTGCAGGACATCAGCCAAGCCCTGCCCTCTGAGGAGCAGCCCCTGAGTGGGCAGCTCATGGCCCCTCTGGACTGGGTTGGGTTCAGGTTCCCGCTCCGGATCTGTCCTTGAGGTGGGTGTCAAGCACCAGACCCTAAGAGCAGGGTCACCTCCTGCGTGATGCTGTTGTTGAGGGTGATCACAGCATCACGGCAAAGGGGCTTGCAGCTCCTCTCTGTGTCCATTGGGAGCTGTGGGATGAGGATGGGGAGATGGGGACACCAACAGGATCAGGCAGTACGAGGGGACGGAGGCAGCCATCAGAAGGAGGAGAATCCTGAAGGAACGCTCAGGGCTTTGATTTTCTTTTAGAGCTTATTTTTGGCTCTAATGGCCTGAATCGTCCTGTTTAAATCCCTTTGCAAAGTGTTTTCTTCCTGACACCAATCTCAAGGCAGATCCAGAGCCTGTTTTCCCAAGGGAGGTGGCCTTTCCCAGCCAACTGCCTTGCTCTGGGAGCTGATCCCAACCTCTGCCACATTCCTATGTCTGGCTTCAATAAAATAACCCTTTGGTTTGAGCTCTCTGCCTTACTATGGGTGGATTATTATGGGTGCATTTCATAGCCTTTGGGACAGCAAAGAGGGGTACTCAGGGTGGTGCTTACCCTTCCACCTCATCCCGGTGGGCCTCTAGCCATTCAACTGGGAGCTAAAGGGAAACAATCCCACCTGGATGAATTCCTTCAAAATTGATGGTTTCTGCTGAGAAAGCCCCAAAGAGGAAGAGGCATCCTCCGGACACACATTATCCCACCACGCTCCTCGGGAACACAAGGTGCAACCCCTAGATCCCATTGGAACTGCTTGATGGGAGGTAGAGATCCATGTTTCCCTTCCTCCTCCAGCCCCGCAGCTCCCTCCATGTCCCTGCTCCCTTCCCAGCTCTGTCCCAGCTCTTCCATGGTGTCCTTAACCTGGAGATGCAGCCTGCAGACATCTCCAGCTGGTTTTCCAGGTTCCATAGGTGCTTCCAGGGCACAACTGTGGGCTCCTCATTGAGATGAAAGGAGCAGGGTGGGAGCCAAGCAGACCCAAGCTTCCAGTCCTTCTGATGGGAATAGCTCACTGGGAATGGGACTTGCACCTCCAATGCTGGCCAAGCAATGGGATTCACCCCTTCAGTGGGGTCTCCACTCCTCCCAGGTGCTGCCATGCAGATATATATCTATTGATGAAGCTTATCAAAGGGTTATAAATGGCTTAGAAACATCCCCTGTGAGCTTGGAGCCAGGATGGGGTTTCTTGATGGGCACATCCATGGCCTGGGTGCCGATTGTGCCCCATTGAGTCCCAGCCCCTCTTCCAGCACCTACAAGCCTCTGGTCGCACAATTCCTTCCCCGTTTTCCTCATCCATGGTTGCACCAAGAGCTCCCAGAGGCTGAAATATCTTTTGGGGGATGGATTTGCCTAATTCCCATCCCTAAAGAGAGAGAAGGGAGAGGCAGGAAGGGGCAGCCCTCGGGATAGAAGTTGCTTTATTTCCCTCCTAGCACATCCCCACCCCCTGCCATGGCACACAGACCTGACTCACAGGTTCAGCGCATCCCTGCTCCAGGTCTATTATCCAGCACTGGGGAGGAACAGGAAGGGAAAGATCCAGCCCCATCAAAGGGATAAACCCTAACAGGTTTGGGCCTTTCAAGTTCACTTTGGAAGAGCTTCAGGTGGAGCTCAGAAGCTGTTCTGGAGGGGGAGAAGGTCTCCGAGAGGAACAGAACCCTGGAGTGCAGGAAACTGGAAGGTCTGGTAGGTATCGAGGACCCTGGGCAGTGACACAAGGGCTCAGGGTCAGTTCTTCGCTCCTTGTTGCTTGCACTGCAGCATGGATGTGATGGTGAGCACGGGGACATCAAGGCTTTCACCCCAAGCTCATGGTGGTTTCTTTTGCATCAGGTTTAATGGGAAAGAAACGATGGGGATTTGGGCTCCTGAATGACGTTTTCCTGTAGGAAAGGCTTTTCCCACCCTGTTGCTCCTTCGTTTGCATCTCCAAAGGGAGGGAAGAAGCTGAGCCCTGGTGCTGCAGGTCCCAAAAAGGCTTTTTCTTCTTGCTTTCCCAGCTGGAAGACCTGAAGAATGAGATTGAGAAGAGGCAAGCCAAAAATGCCACCAAATTCCCAGAGAATTCCCAGCTGGACACCGAGGCACAAGGGCGAGAAGAGAAGAACCAGCAACCAGTGAGTGAATTCATCCCATGTACAGGGGTTTATGGGGACGGGAAATCCCCCGTGGTTGGGATTTCCCAGTCCCACTTTGCTTCTATTCCCTCTGTAGATCTGCAGTTCCCAAGGGGATGAAGGGAGGGGGATTTGCAGCCTGGAATGATGAGAATGAAATCAGTGGTTTGTAGAAGGAACAGTGGGGGCTGGTGGTTCCCTATGGGGTGGGGAGAGGAATGTGATAGTGCAAGGAGCATCACCTGCGATGGGCAGCCCAGAGCATGAGGTCCATGGGCTGAAGCTGGGGAAGCAGCCTGTGGCCACGTTCCTTCAAGGCATCTTGTGCTGTAAGAAGAGTCCACACTGAGCTTCTTTTTCTCTTTCTCCTTCCCCCAGGACATAAGGAGCACCGTCAGCAGGTATGTGGCCTCTCCAAAAGGCTGTTCCATGGGGTTTTCCAAGAGCCATGGTGGAGCAATGCCCATGGCGGCTGCTTCAGGGGGTCTGGAAGGGCATTTGGGTACCACCACCACTATGTGTTCATCACCTCATTCCTGGTGGCACCAGATTCCCCCGGTGGTGACGATTCCAAAGGTGAGGTTTTCCTCTTCCCTAGATGTGGAAAAGCGACTTTCCAGCTCCCAGCAGATGCCTCTCCGGAGTCAGAAGAGAGATCCTGTCACTTCTCCTGGAGGAACGGAGGGCTGAAGGAGACCCTGAGGAAGCTGCAAGGTACGGAAGGGCTTGAGGAAGGGGAACTGCTTGACCTGTATTGGGAGAGCTGGAAGAGCTGCCCATAGATCACGCTGGATATGCTTTGGGAATGGAGATGCTGCAGTGAGGAACCCTGGGATGGAGGAGCTGGGGAACAAAGGGGTTTCCTGGTCAGAAGGTTGGTACCCACATTTATCACTATCAGTTGTCCATGTTTTGCCCTGGTTCCTGAAGGATGCTCCTGCTGGAGCTCCCCGTCCGGCCTATTCCAATCCCAGAAAGGGCTGAGCATGAGAACACCAGAGCAGCCGTACCTGTCAGGTGAAGGTGGAACACAAAGTGCCCAAAAGAGATGCTGAAGGAGGGGTATGAAAATCAGGACAACCCAACGGGTTTTCCCAGCCCTGCAGCTGGAAGAACCCCCCCTCCAGGGCAGAGCCAACTGATTCCATGAACATGGAAATTGGTTGGCCTAATTCAGTGCCAGCTCTTAGGTCTTTTTGTTGTTCAAGCTCAGCTGAACCGGTCTGGTCTTGTCCTGTGGTTGTGCAGGAGACAACCCACATCCCTTCCCTTCCTTCTTTCTTCTCCCAGCATAGCCTGAAGTCCGCAGGAGCTTGTTGCCATTCCTGTGTGCATTTCCTTTGGTGGTTAAAGCCAGCTTTTCTGCTTCACAGACAGAACATTTCCCTGCTTCACAGACAGAACATTTCCCTGCTTTGGGATGCTTCTGCCTTGGGATGCTCCCATTTGGGATGCTTCCATTTGGGGTGCTTCTTCCCCTTAGATACCAGCCCGGGTCCTGCTGCCCCCTCCGCTCTCCCCCCATCCCTGGCGGGGCTCAACCCTCTTTCTGACCCCCCTGTCCCGCACCCGCAGCCACCGTGACGCTGGACCCGGACACTGCGCATCCCGACCTCATCCTGTCGGAGGACGGGAAGAGCGTGCGGCGCGGCGCGGGCCGCCGGGACGTGCCGGACAACCCGGAGCGCTTTGACTACTGGCCCTTCGTGCTGGGCTGCCAGGGCTTCGCGGCCGGGCGGCACTGCTGGGACGTGGAGGTGGGCGACAGCGGGGACTGGGCGCTGGGGGTGGCCCGGGACTCCATCCACCGCAAAGGGCACCTCAGCCTCTGCCCGCAGGGAGGGATCTGGGGCTTGGAGAAGTGGGGGGGGCAGGTGCGGGCCCTCACCGCCCGCAAGGTGACGCTGCTGCCGCTGCGCTGGGTACCGCGCAGGGTCAGCGTCCACCTGGATTACGGCGGCGGGACCGTGGCGTTCTTCGATGCCGATGAAGGGGGGCTCATGTTCATCTTCTCCCGAGCGGCGTTCACCGGGGAGAGGGTCCGGCCCTGGCTCTGGGTGGTGGGGGCCAGGTCCCAGCTCAGGCTGTGTCCGTGAGACACTGGGGGGAGCATCCCCTAACCCCAACCCAGAGCAGCATCCCCTAAACCAGAGCAGCATCCCTTAAGCCTAACCCAGAGCAGTGTCCTCTACCCCAACCCAGAGCAGCATCCTCTAACCCCAATCCAGGGCAGCATCCCTTAACCCTAACCCAGAGCAGTGTCCTCTAACCCCAACCCAGAGCAGCATCCCCTAAACCAGAGCAGCGTCCCTTAACCCTAACCCGGAACCATTTCCTCTCTTCTCCTCCAGCACATTTGATACTAACGATGGACATTAGTAATAAAATGCACCTGATTTTCCCCTCCTTGTCTTCCCCTCTTGTCAGGGCTGCAGCAAGCAGTAGAGCAGAGTGGTACATGGGATGTCCTTATGTACCTGCAGGGGGCTTGTTGGCCTTTCTGGGTGCAGGCACAGCCTACTCGCAGGCTTTGTGCAAGGGAAGACCACAAATGGGATTTAGTTAACCAAAACCCCCCTCTAGAACCTGACATTCAGAAGCAGCAAATAACCAGGCAGAGAAGAACAAGACAGCATCTAAGTCCTTTTACTTCATCTAAAAGCGTAAGAGGGAGAAGTAGCCAGGCTGGTGTGAGATTTTGTGGCTTCATTTGATGCCCTGATTTGGGGGTGACCACTTGGGACACTGACCCATGGGGATGCTCATCCCTTTGGCATCATGGGGGATGGAAACAGAGGCTGGAAAGGGCAATTTAAGACCTCCAGAGTGCTGGAACTAGAGATACTGGGGACAGGAGGCTTGTGTTGGAGTGGGAAGGGAGAGCCTCATGGGCACAATGTGATGTGGGCCCCTTCACCCCACACCAGGAACCAGGGATGGATGCTCTCCCCTTTGAAGGAGGCTGCTGGGAAGGTGAAGATCAGGGATCTCTTATCAGCATCAAAAAATGCCACCTGACCCCTGTCATAGTCCAGGGAGACCTGGACCCTGGTGGGGACCTGGACCTGGTACAGTGGGATGCGCTCGAGGGAGGTGAGAGCCCAGAACTGCCCCTCGCAGAGCCCCATGGACCAGAGCTCCATCCCGGGGCCCTCAGCAGCCTCCTCCCTCCTCCTGAGGGACTGTGTGGCCACCCCGACAGCCCAGGAGCCTCTGGGGGCCACCTCCACCTCCCAGCAGCATCTCCCCACGGTGATGCCCTCACTGCCCAGGACACAGGGGTCGGTGCCCAAGCCCTCAGCACATGGGTCCTGGTGGGCATCATTGTCCCACCTCACACTCCTCCCATCGGATGACACCACGAGCTGGGGATGAGCTGTGGATGGGTCCAGGGTCACCTTCACTGTGAAGGGCAGAGATAGAGCATCAGAGAAAACCAGTATTCCATGGCCCCAGGGACCATGTAGCACCATCATTGGAGGTGCTGGTTGCTTTCCCCATCCCACAGGGCTCAGGAGCAGCTTCCCAAGGGAAGAACAAGCTGGAGGGCAGATGAGTAAGAGACCCTCATCCTTCAGGGTGTTTTGTGCCAAAAGTGTGCATTTGGTCCCTGGCCACCCCGATGTGACAGCTAGAGCCAGTCCTCATGCAGCTCCATGGAGAGAACAGAACCCATCAGCACCTTATGGTGAGGACTCCCTGACTCTTTAGGGGGTTTTTCCTCCCTTCCCATTCATCACTTGGTTCAGACACAGATGAACGGATCCTAGGCTGGGCTCAGCCTTCCCTTGGCCCTTCCCACTCCCTCACCTTCAGGAGATGGGGACTTACTCTTTTCTGGCAGCTCGAACATCAGGATGTCTATGGAGGGGAGAAGAGGAGGCGTGAGTTGGTGTAACACGAAGACAGGGCTGCTCTGCATGCTCAGGGCACACACGCACCTTGGAAGCTCCTCAGGGTCTCCTCCAGAGCAGTGTTTCTGTCCCTGAAATGGCTGATTCTCTTCTCCAGCTCTGCAAGCAGCAGTGGGGGCTGCTGGAAGCTCTCCATTTCAAGCCTAGGAAGGAGGATGGGACAAAGAGGGGAAGGATTCATCTCCACAAAGAGAGGCCAAGAAGGCTTTTGTGCACACTTTGGTGCAGCCTTAGATAAACCTGATGCATGGGCAACCATGGGTAGAGCTCAGAGTCCGCGCTCAGGGATCTGTCCACAAAGCCTCTGAGTGATGCCCAACACGAGGTCTAAATCCCTCCCAAATAGACGCTGGGGGAGCCCCATACCTGCTCAAGGTGCCTCTGATGTCCTGGAAGGGAGAGAGGGAAGAGCAAGCTCAGTGAATGGCTCTTAGGAGGAAAACATCTCCTGAAGCACCAAGAGTGTGGAGCAGGGCACAGCTTGGGCTTGGCTGAATCACGGGGCCCAGATGGTGGTACCCAGACAGTGGTCCCCTGGCTCCTCACCTGCAGGAATTGATTTGTCGGCTGCTGGCTCTTCTCCTCCATCTCTTGGATGAAGGAATCCAGGCGGGAGATCTCCTTTGTCAGGCTGGTGACATTTTCTTCCTGCAGCTTCTCAATGTCCCGCTCCAGGTCTCCCAGCTGAGCCAGCAGATGCTGAGCATGGTCCTCCAGGAAGAGCCGCAGCCCTTCCAGCTTGGATAGGACCCTCTGGCGCTCGGCTGTGGTCTTCTCCTGTGAGGAGGGGATAAGGGAAGGAAAAGGGAAGGGGATTCTATCCATCCATCCATCCATCCATCCATCCATCCTCCCACCCATCCATCCCAAGTATCTTTTATACAGATCTCTTGATCTGCACGCAGCAGTTGAGTCCCTGGCAGATCTCCAGGCTCTGCCCATTATGCATCATTTGGTTTGGAACCTGGAGCAGGACCCCAGCCCCAGCAGGATGGTGTCGCACCTAAAGCCAGAGCCTGACATTCAAACCCCCCTTACCAAGTATTCCCAGTTCCTCCTCATCTCAACCTCTCGCACCCCCAGGAGTTTGTCTTTCTCTTCCTTCAGGGCTTGCAGACGGGCCTGGATTTGTCCCTAGGGAAGGAAAAAGGTCTCTGGAGATTCGGCTACCCAAAAAGGGGATTGCACTGTGGTCAGCTCCAGAGACTTGAATTGCACAGAAGGGAAGTTGAGACCTCAGCCCTCCATCCCTGGAGCACCAGATGAGAACTGAGAGAGCAGAAGCACTGGTGCATGCCCTGCGCTGTCATTCTGAAACAGGCTGTGTGGGAAGCATAGAGGGGGGAACACAAGAGTTCTGCCCCCACAGCACAGCCCTGAGTGAGGGCAAGATGTTCCACAGCCTGGTGGTAATGTGCTGCTATAGGAGCATCAAGCCCTGATGGTGCTGGTGGGTGGGAAAAGCCTCACTGTACCTTGTATCCCTGGACAGCATCCTGCGCGGGGAGCGTCCTGTGTGACCGGTGTGCGCGGGACTCCCTGCAGATCACACAGATAAAGGTTCCATCGTCTTCGCAGAAGAGCTTGAGAGGTTCCTGGTGCCTCTCGCATCGTTCCCCTTGTCCCGTGTCCCCCTCGGCCGCCTGCGCGCTCAGCCTCCGCGCCGCCTCCAGCACCCGCGCCAGCTCCCGGCTGGGATGCAGCGTCCTCTCCGGTGCCGTCTCCCGACACCGCGGGCAGGAGAAAGGCGCCGTGGACCATTCCCAGCAGCGGGAGATGCAGACGCGGCAGAAGTTGTGTCCGCAGTGGATGGAGACCGGGTCGCGGAAGTACTCGAGGCAGATGGGGCAGGAGGCTTCGCTGGGGAGCGCCGTGGAGGGGCTCGGGGCAGACATCGGGTCCCCCCCCCCGATGAGAGCTCTCAGGCAGAGGCTGCTTTCGTTTGCCTTCGAGCAAGGGAAAGGCGTTTCCCTTCCGCCTCCCCCACCCCCGGGGGGGGGCAGAGCCAGAGCGGAGCTTGGCTGGGATGGGGGGGGAGCTGGTGACGGCTCTTGGCAGCATCTCTCGAGCGATCCCTGCTCCCCATGGTCTGTACCCACCTCCGGGCAGGACGAAGGACAGGGAAAGGGAACCCTGTCTGAGGGGCAGACCCACATCGTGGAAAAGGGCCGGGCTTGGGAGCAAAGAGGATGTGGGGAAGGGGCTCTGTGTGGTAAAGGTGACAAAGAGCAATGGAAAAGATGGGGAAGAGCATCCATGGAAAAGGTGTGTTGCTGCAGCAGGAAGAAGAGCAGGGGACAAAGCAGCATCCTCAGTGCAAAGGGCAGACACAGCCTGGGGGGGGGATCAATCCCAACACCAGCCCCTCTGCACATCCCATTAATCTACATCAACCTTTAGCTCCAGGTTAAGCAATAAAAGAAGCCTCGAGCATGATGCTGAGCCCCAGGTTTCAGTGTGGGTGCTCATGCACACAGCTAACAGCGGATGTTCTCAGATGTGTCACTTCGTTGCCCAGCCTCAGCACTGTGCAAAGTCCTGTGTCGTTGCTACAGCTTTGCAGGGGAGCCAGGATGCACAAAAGGCACCTTCACATTAACATTGCTAAGAGGGTGCGTGATCAGCGACTCAAGGCTCAGCCCTGAACCATGAGAGAAGCAGCAGCATCCTGCTTGAAAGGAGAACTGAAAGCAGCAATAAGTGGTTATAGCTGCACATACACACGCAGGAAGGAGTTGCTGGCAGTGGCAAGGAGTGAAGGGTGGGATTACAACCCAGGAAATGATGTTTGTTCTCCATTGAACCTCTTTCCCCCAGGGAAAGGGGAGTTCTCCCTTCATTCCCCATCCCAGAGAAGACCCATTGCCCCTCAGCACTGCAGCTGCTCCTCTGCTCACATTCACCTCCCTTGGGGCCAGAGGCACCGCTGGGGCAGGAAGTGAAACCTGTCCCATCATCCCCACCACCGAGCCCATGGCTGCAGCCAGCCCTGCCCAGAGCTTCCACGATGAAGCCTCCTGCTCCATCTGCCGGGGCCTCTTCCAGGACCCCGTCTCCATCCACTGCGGACACAACTTCTGCCGGGCCTGCATCACCCGCTGCTGGGAGGGATCCGACGGGAGCTTCTCCTGCCCTCAGTGCCGGGAGACGGCGCCGCAGAGGAACCTGAGACCCAACAGGGAGCTGGCGACGCTGATCGCGGTGGCGCGGAGGCTGAGCCTGCAGGCGGGCAGAGCT